GGGAGGGGGGGTCCAGACGTGCCGATGGCTCGGAGAACGGTCCAGATAGGATGAGGACCGGGAGGCGGTCCAGTCAGACTGACGGCTCATTATGCATGTTGTTTGCTGTTTTCTTATATGTTTATACGATATGGTTATATTTGTATAGCCCTGGTATTTTGGGGAAACTTACTAAGCTTCGGCTTACAGTTGTTGATTTGGTTTCAGGTACTTCTGATGACCGTGGGAAGGCAAAGGCGTGATCGTACAACTCCTCCTGCTTTACCTATGTGTCTGGGAAAACTCTGATATTATACATTTTAAGAACAAAGTTGTAATGATTTTTAATGGTTTGAAATGTTTTAAAATTTTTAAATTGGTTTGAATTTTTGGAATGTTACAGATTATTTGCACCATTTCCAGCATATTGTGGGTATAAAGTTCTATCCTTGCTTAATATTTGATTAGATCTCTTTTTGGGTTAAGTTTTGATGCTTTAGCCATGTTTGGGTGATTGGTGGGGTTGAAGGACGTCCTAAGTGTTATTCTTCCAGATCTATGGTCCTCTTGAGCTCTTTTGGCATAAAGATGCCAACTTTGTCCTAAGGGATTTATGCATTCATTAAGTCCTTCTTTTGGTCTCTTTTAAGATTTTGAGCTTCTTCTAATCATGGATAAGTGTAAAGTTTGAAACTCTACATCGCCATCTAGCCTCTTATGGTCAGATCTGCATTTTGGAGTTGTGTCCTAGTGGAATAAGTGCTTAATGATTAAGTCCTTACCCTTTTAAGTTTAGGGTTTGGGTTTTGAACCCATTTCGGTGGTTCTTATGGGCAAAGTTGGAAACTTAACCCTTCTTGAGGCCATTTCAGTTAAAATTTGAGTGGGTGAAGTTGTTAGTTTCGATTATGTCGGCTTAATGGATTAAGCTATTTGGTCTTAGGCGAACTCAACGAGTTATATGGTCAACTGGGCGAGTTGTTTTGGTTTTCCCCAATTCTGAGTTGGTGTGGGTCAACTTGGCGAGTTGATTAGACAACTCAGCGAGTTGGATCGGTTTCTTCAAGACTTTGCGGTTGTCAGAGGAACTCGGCAAGTTGAAGGATAAACTCGGTGAGTTGGGTCAACTTGAGCCGTTGAATTTGACTTTTGACTTATGCATTTGATCAAGTTTGTCCCAAGGGGTGTTTGAAGCAAGCTGAATTGTAAAATATGGACTTAAGATAAGGCCCGTATGGGATTGGGCCCAATTTGGAAGATTAGGCCATTAGTGGGCTTTTATGGATTTTGTGGTTTTAGATCTTGTTGGATTTGGGCTTGGGCCTTAGTTATGAATCTTTTTGGTCCAGGGGTAAAGTTTTTATTTTACCCCAAGTATGGATTATGGATCATGATTTGGAACCTAATTGCTAATTGGTGATATTTTGGTATTGTTAACTCGAGAAGTTGTCAAGGCAGTAGCTAAGGATTTCTTGCAGTGAGCTTCAACATTCGAGGTGAGTTTCCTTACCGGGTTTAACGGGTTGAAGGTACCAAGGTAGGCCCATGTTTATATTATGTTATTAGTATGCTAGTTGTCTCTGTGGCTCTTACATGTGCTGTGTTTATATGTTTTCCGCGTTAAGGACCGATGTCGGGCGAGGCCTGATGGATATCTGTATGCTATGTATCTTTGTGATTATTTTATGTGTATGTGTTTACTTGATATATGTTATTGTATGTTGGGCGGGGACCGTTTACCGAGCTCAACTTGATGTCGGGCGGGGCCCGATGCTCAGGGTTCGAAGCGGGGCAGGGCCCGATGACGGACGGGGTCGCTATATGTTTATTCGCATAATTGCCAGTATTTGTTTATGTTTTTGTGATTATTTGCTTATATTATTATGTGATAGTGGTAGGGGTGAAATAGACCCAATATCCGGTTGAAATAGACTGAATGGGAGGTCAGCACCCATATATCCTCGGCAATATCCAACTAAAATAGACCGAAGGGGAGGCAATCACCCATATATGCTTGACAATATGTTTATTGTATGGTATGCGGTATTTAGGGAAATCACTAAGCTTTGTGCTTACGGTTTTCAGTTTAAGTTTCAGATACTCTAATTTTCAAATGAAAGAGCTTGGGACGATCGCAACGCATACACCTGTGTTTTCAGCAATATGTGATATTTGGGTATGAACTCTGATAAATGTGTTTATTTAAATGCTTTTTCAATGTTTGGACAAAGTCATAATGGTGTTTTGATTATAATAAAAATGAAATTTTGCTTCGGATTTTTGGGTTGTTACATCTTTTACTCTGATGTTTTGGATATTTTGTATCTTGGATGTTTTCGAGATATTTGATGTATGGGATTGATGAAGTTGAAAAAAAAAATTATCAGTGTTTTTGGGATGTTACAGAGGTAGTGGGCAGACTGTTGAGTTAAGACGTGAAGCTGCTAGAACCGTTGTACAATCAACAATATGACCATATCACCCCTATCATTTCAACAGTAGTTTTTTTTCATTCTAATGGATTAATGTTAAGATTTGTTGTTTGTTTTTTGAAAAAATATAGAAAGATAGCGGTTGATTTGTCTCTCTAAATCTTTTAGTTGTTTACAAGTGATGGCGATTCTTGTTTATTGGCATTCTGATTCGGTGAAAATTTTTACAATCACTCAAACAGTTATAAAACTGCTTTATTTTTACAAAACACTCAATTGCTTTTAAAATAAATTACTGTAGGAAGGTAAGTAACTCAAATGTTTGTGAACAAAACGTTCTAGTTGCTTACCTTTTGATATTTTTTCTAACGTTGTTTTGTTAAAAAAGAAAAAGTACATTACCTATCTATGGTATTGACCCTTCAGTTTATATATGATCTTTTGTTTTTACTTTTATCCTTGGGGTTTCATTAACTTTATTGCTAAAATTTTACTACATGTAATTTACTAAGAAATGATATAAGAAACGTGCTTTTTATTTTAATTTCCAGTAGAAATTAGCTGATAATTATTTTAAAAAAAACATTTCCTAAATGGTCTTGAGTCAAATTTTCATTTTGATGTAAATGGTCCTTACGGTTTTAATTTTATTTACGGTTGAATCACTTACTCGTGTAAAATGACATTTTTAACCATTCAATTGGTTTATAAGTTTCAACTAATTTTAAGAACACAAAAAAAAAAAAAAAAAATAAGATGAATCCCGACACATCCTCTCTGTGTCATACAAACACAAAAGCAATTCCTATACTTACAAGGTATCATGGTTATATTAGAAAACAAAAATGTATCACATCATGTATTTAGCATATTATTTTCTCAAAACCATGTAATTTTATTTTATTTGAAAAGTAAATATTAATATAAAGAATTTTTTGAACACAAAAATAATACAAGGGTTTTTTCCATGGTTGTCAAAATCGCGATTCTGGTCGTAGGATCGTACGATCCTAAGTATGAAAAACGATCCGGATCGTAAACAGATTGTATATGGGGTAGGATCGCTGGTATGATCATAAGATCGTAGGTAGGATCGTAGAATCGAGATCCGATCCGATCCTACTTTCCATTGATTTTTTTGTTTGTTTGTTTGTTTGTTTTTTGCAAATGAAATTAGTTTTACCATCTAATAGCGTTGATCCTTTACCAATTTACCATTAATAATTCTGTGTTGTGAATTATGACTAATATTTTAAAGTTTTTATAACTTCTGAATGAAAAAATAAATGTTTGAAATATTTTTCATGTTTAAAAATTATAAATTAAAATTATGTTTTATTTTGTGGGATCTTCAGATCCCGATCCCGATTTTACGATCTCGATCTTGCAAACCAAAAAACGATCCTACGTAGGATCCCGATCTTGACAACCTTAGTTTTTTTCATATATAAATTCATTATTGATTGTTTTTTTTTTTCCTTGTATTTTTTCCTATAAAAACCTATTATATGGCATAAAATGATAAAAAGAAAGAAAGTATATGAAACATTGCATATATAATATTAACACCCCAAATAGACAAAGGAACATGCCTCTATGTCTCTCTGACTTCACAGATCGAGTGTTAGTCTATATCCGAGGACATTTAAGATAGTCTCTTGTTAATTAAATACTAATCTATTCGTCTTAAACTAATGTCATGTTTGCAATTAACATTTATTTTCATTTTAATATTTTAATTAATAATAACAATCAAGCCTTTCCACCACTCCAGTTTGATAGTTGTTTATATTATTCCCCATGTGGGAGGCATATAATTGTAATTTCATTAAATACCACGTGGTCCTTATGTTACCAAATTTTACTTCCTTTTTCTTTTCGCTCCAGCTCCACTAGCTTTTTGATTTGATTGATAGTACCAGAAAGTCGAAAAGATAAGTGATAACTTATTAACCCATGTATTGTATATGATTCAATGTATCTCATATATCTATAAAATCTATTAAAAAAATGATTTGTAATGAGATATAATATTATACTAAATTTAATGTATAAAGCTTTACGGGTTTCTTTTTTATATACAGAAAAAATCATGAATACCATTAGGCCATTGGTTAACTAATTTTAAAAGATGTCTAAAAAATCTTACATTTTTATTATTAGTTGAATATTTGTAATAGCTTTTAGTTCGAACATTTTTCTTAAATACCCTAAATTTTATTTTAGCTATGAAATATTAAATCAAATGTAATACTAGGGATGTGTGGTGTGAACACTACAGTGAGGTGTGAAGTGTGAACACTAATTTTATAAAGCAAAAGATATACTGACACAGAATTTTATAAAGCAAAAGAACAGGTGAAAATAAAGGAGGGTCAATATGGTCAATATTCTGTCAAAAGTTATAAAAACTTTTTTTTTATTTTATTTTATAATTTTCCTCAAAAAGAAGGGCAGCTTACAAAGAGTCTATATAAGTCAAATCACATACGTATAACAATCAATCACTACAAGTCTACAACCCCAACACACTCGTTCCCAAATTCCATTCCGCCACCACACGCCGCCGTGAGATTGTAGCTAGTTCATATGGCCGGAGTAAGGAGATCAGCCGCGATGAAGAACAGAAATGGCGTCCGATGTGCATCTGGTAATGGACGTCCGATTCCGGTGAGAGGTCAAGTGAAGATAGCGATTGTGTTAGGATTAGCTCAGTCTGTGGCATCCTTCTTCTCCTCTAATGGCCGATCGTAATCATCTTAAGATCTTTGCATCCGGCGGATTGAACAATAAATCAACTCCTCACAGTTTTTTAGAAAGAGGAAGGAGAGATCAATTTTGATATAGTTAGATTGTTAGATGGAAGCTTTCTATCGTTTGTATGTATGTGACATGTATTAATCGATGATCATGATGTGTTTGTTCGAAACTTGGTAAATATGTGATGATCAATTTGGTTTCTTTCTTTCCAATTTATTTATTTATTTATTTTTTTGTACGAATGATACAACTTTAGGATCAAACACAATCAAATATGTTTAAAGTTTACAATTTTAAAAACTATTTACATGTTATAATAATTTTGCCCAAGGTGTATGGCCTTTAAAAGTGAATATATTATAATAATATACTTATTTACTCAAAGTATATGCAAAAATATTTACTTTCAAAAAATAACCACCATACTTATTTTATTTGCATTAAATACTACGGAAGACAATTTATAACTAGATAAGAAACGAAGTTAAGATGAAATCAAAATTCAAATTGATGTGTCAGTGACAAGTGTTAAAAACGTGATATTGTGTTCTATCGTGTTTGTGTTTAAAATTTGTTTGTGGTATTTTATAAGATTAACTTTAAGTTAAATGAATTAAAATTTATTTATTAAATTATTTTTTATCATTTTTTTTATATAAATTGACTTGTTTTTGTGTAGTAATACAAAACACCACACAGTTTTATTTTTCTTTTTATGTAGTTATGTTTTTTTTTTCTTAATTAAACAAAACAAAAATTCCAATCTAGCTCATATATCTACAAAAAGTTTAAAAAATGAAAAACATATAAAATTTTCTAATCATTTTAAAAAAAAAAATGTAAGAGGATATAACATAACCTTTTTTTGTTTAAAGTTCATTGCTTGATTTATATTGTTTTGACTGTTTAAAGATTAACAGTTTTCTTTTTTACATACAGCAAAAAAGATGAGCACCATTTGGGCATTGGCAGAGTGCTCGAAAGAGAGATAATCAGGTAATGTTACATTTGTATTTATTATAAGTTTTTAATAATTTTAAGCAACAACTTTATAATTATAATTTTATCTAAGAAATAGCTAGTTTTAAAAGATGTCTTAAAAATCTTACATTTTTAAGGAATCAAATCACCGTATTTTTATAACGTTTAGTTGGAATATTTTCGTGTATCATAAAAATTATTTATTTGCTACTTTTTTTAATTCTAGTTTAAATAAATTTTATTTGAGCTATGAAACTTAAAATGAAATGTATTTTTACGTGTTAGTGATGTGAAGTGTGAACACTATAGTTGGGTGTGAACTGGACAATAAAAAGGTAAAAATCTGAAAAGCATAAAAACAAAAGATATAGAATTTCATAAAGCAAAAGAAAGGTGAAAGCGTGAACCGAAAGGAGGGGTCAATATGGTCAATATTCAGGTCAAAAGTTTAAGGATTTTTTATTTTTATTTTATTCAAAAAGAGTGGATTCTGAGAAAGAATCTCATGTATAAATTATAGTAATCATTTTCAAACCCGTAAGGCTAATACCATTCCAACTCATTTTTATTTTTATTTTAAAATGAGTAATTTTTTCTTTTTAATTTTCAATCTTACTTTATTTTTAACAATATTTTTTACCCTAAAAAATATATTCATATTATATTCTTTTTTTTTTTTTAACTTTTATATATAGGTTCATGTTATTTGAAATCATACTAATTTTGTGAGATTATGAGACGAAATTTAAAAATAATTTTAAAATACAAAATCAAAGAAAATTCCGAATTTTTTTAATTATTATTTTTGTCATTTTTTTACCTAAAAAGATTACCCTTTTTCAATTATTATTTTCGTCATTTTTTTTGTAGCTGTAGCTGTGGCTGATGGTGGTGATGGAGTCGGAAATGGAAAATTCGATCAGGGTGCATGGAAGCCGACATCGATACGGTGGGAAACCATCTGCAGTCGAAGTTGGGAACTGACTACGCACCTGAAATAGAAGATGCAGACTGACTTGAGCGGTGATGATCTGAACGCCTCTCCAGAGAGAATACTCCAAGTAAATCAGAAGAAAAGTCAAGATAATGTTGTAAACCCAGATGAAGAGTTGAGCGGAAGAAACTTCTAGATAAAGTTGACTGCAGATATTTCATAAGGAGGCGTTGGAAGGATCCGGGAGCGGATAAATCCAAACGATGATCAACACTTGTATATAAGAATGTAAATATTTCCATAAAATATCCACGTAAACGTAACATATAATCAAGGGATCATTTCTGTCAAACAATGCCCCAGTTCACTATTGCTAAGCTCGCATTCCTTTAATATATATATATATATATATATATATATATATATATATATATAATTTAATGATATTTAATGTTATTACCTTATTCATGTGATGCGAATGTGTTTCTTGTAATCATAAATCTTTTTTCCAATCTAATTGCTTCTCATTCGGAGTTGGTGAACCATACACATGTGTTAGATTTTCTATTAGGCCATACTGCTTCTCACGAACCCCATCTATGGCCAGGTAACACAACCATGAGAGTCGTTCACAGCGGCACAACCACAACAACAGTGATGCTACGTGCCATGTACAAAGAGTAGCAACGAACAAACAGTTTTAATATGCATTTATTCCAAGAATCAATGAATATAATTTTAAAAATTTACCTACATTTCAACTATAAATATACCTATTTTACTACAAACTATTTCACACTATTTTTTCTTTCTCTACATATTCACATATAATTTAATACTTCCTACCATGAAATAATTTCCAAAACCATCAAATTTCCAAACCAAACAACCTTGGAAAAAAAGGAAGAAACCACATTGCTTGTGTTTGGATCTCGGTTTTCCAACGACACCATAAATAGAAGAGAAACCTTGTGGTAATATATTGGGAACCACTTCTGTTCGAACTTTATATATAAAGGAATTGCAAGTTGGCAATTTCCTTTGTATCCCACATTGGTGGGGGAAGAAACTTTTGTGGGTTTATAAGCCTATTCCCTTGTTAAGTCATCAAAGGCTTTAGTGGATCAAGGGAATGGGCCAAGCCCACGCGCGCGCCTAGCCTAGCCTAATCCGCGGAATTGTGTGTGGGTCACATCAAGAATTTCCTATCTGATCGGCTCTATGATCTTTACTCGCCGGTCAAATATCCTAAAGAGCTATGGAGTGCGTTGGAACTCAAGTATAAGGCACATGAAGAAGGTACTAATAAGTACCTTGTATCCAAGTATCTTTAGTTTCAAATGGTTGATGACAAACCTATTATGGAGCAAGTGCATGAACTCCAAGTCATGGTCAACAAGTTGAACGCACTCACCATCTCTTTTCCAGAACTCTTTCAGGTTGGTGCGATAATCGCAAAACTGCCACCCTCGTGGAAAGATTTCTCTAAGAGAATGATGCACAAATCTAAGGACTACTCCTTGGATGATCTGATGAAACACCTCCGCATTGAGGAGGAAACTCGCATCAGGGACAAGCGAGGTAAAGTTGGACAAAGTGTGCATCATGTGTCAGGTGGGAGTTCTAGCCACAAAGGCAAATCTGGGGGACAGAACAAGAAGAACTTTGGGCCCAAGAAACAAAGCTTCAAGAAACCGGGTCATCAAAATCCTAACTCAAAGCCAAAAAGGGCCGGTCCTTGCCACGTCTGTGGAGAGATTAGGCACTATGCGAGAGAATGCAAAGATCGCAAATCCATACCGATTGCACATGCAGTCGAGAAGGTAACTGAAATGGTGGCTAGTGTGAACCTTGGAGAGATTTTCATGATCTCCTCTCTTACTCAAGCAGTCTGTGCTCGAGGTTGGTTCGTAGACACTGGAGCCACTGTGCATGTTTGTGGGCAACGAGAGAGCTTTCGCACCTACCAACCCATGCCTCATGGGACGGTTGTCGTCTGTGCTGATGGCAATAGAGCTGAAGTTCTAGGAAGGGGTGATGTTCGGTTGAAGTTCACACGTGGTGAATGGGTGACTCTTCGAGATGTTCTTCATGTTCCTACTATCTCGAAGGGTCTGGTTTCTGCGGACAAGTTTGACAAGGGTGGGTTCAAGATGGTGCTTGAGAGAGGCAAAATTGTGATCACTAAAGGCAGAAGATATGTTGGGAGGGCTAACAACACTTCGGGAATGTATCGTTTATGTCTTAGTGATGAGGGTAATATGAGTGGTCCTAGTGTTGAGAGTGGTGTTGCTAGTGTGTCTAGTGTTGGAAATGATGTAATTGATGGCTTGATTGCTAATGTGAATGAAGTGAACTTTTCTTGTTATATTGTTTGTTCAATTTCTTTATGGCATAAACGTTTAGCTCACACTAATGTTAAAAACATTGAAAAAATGCAAACTAAAGGTATGTTAAAATATGACTCAAAAGATATTGAAAAATGTGAAACATGTGTAAAGTCAAAGTTCACTAAGAAACCATTTCCATCAGTTAAGAGAAACACATCTTTACTTGAGTTGATTCATTCTGATATATGTGAGTTAAATGGAATCCTTACTCGAGGAGGAAAAAGGTATTTCATCACATTTTGTGATGACTTCAGTAGATATCTACATGTTTATTTGCTGAGATCAAAAGATGAAGCTTTTGATGCATTTAAACGATATAAGGCTGAGGTCGAAAATCAACTTGAAAGACACATCAAAATTCTTCGCTCGAATAGAGGCGGAGAATATTTCAACCAAGAGTTTGACACATTCTGCGAAGAGAATGGAATCAAACATGAGAGAACATCACCATACACCCCTCAACAGAATGGTTTAGCTGAAAGGAAGAACCGAACTCTTTGTGAGATGGTCAACTGTATGTTGAACCAATCGGGTCAACCAAACAATCTGTGGGGGAAGCACTATTGACTGCTTGTTATGTTCATAACAGGATCACTAGTCGTGTGATTCCTACAAGCCTTTATGAGTTTTGGAAAGGTAGAAAGCCTAATCTAGACTATTTGAAAGTGTGGGGGTGTGTTGCTTATTATCGGACTCCCGATCCTAAGCGAACCAAATTAGGAGAACGAGCTAATAAGAGTATATTTATTGGATATGCTCAAAATAGCAAGGCTTACCGATTACTAGATATTGATTCTGGTGTTGTTGTGGAATCCAGAGATGTGGAATTCTTTGAGCACAAGTTTTCTAAGGATGAAGAAAACTCTAGTCATACAACAATTACAAGTACCTCTCGAGAAATACTCCCACCTCCTCTCAGTGTGGAGGAACCAAGGAGAAGTACTAGGGCTAGAACTGAGAAAACCTTTGGAGATGATTTCTATTCTTATTTGGTCGAAGGAACACAAAAGAAAGTGACGAGAGAGGTCATCTTTTCAATTAATTTGGATGATGATCCTCAGAACTTTACTGAAGCCATGACGTCTCGGGATGCTCCTCTGTGGAAGGAAGCAATCAATGACGAAATGGATTCAATTATGGGTAATGGAACTTGGGAGTTAGCTGATCTACCCAAGGGGAGAAGAACCATAGGATCCAAATGGATATTCAAGAAGAAATATCATCCTGATGGATCCATATCTGCTTATAAAGCAAGGTTGGTTGCAAAGGGCTATAGGCAGCAAGAAGGGATCGATTATTTTGATACCTATGCCCTAGTTGCTAGAATTAGTTCAATTAGAACTCTCATAGAAATATCAGCTTTGAAGGGATTGTATATTCATCAAATGGATGTGAAAACAGCCTTTTTGAATGGTTATCTCAAAGAGGAGATATACCTGGAGCAACCTAAAGGTTTCGTAATACCTGGGCAAGAAAACAAAGTATGTAGACTTGTTAAGTCTTTGTACGGGTTAAAACAAGCTCCTAAACAGTGGCATGAGAGATTTGACACCACTGTGACTGCCTTTGGTTTTCAGCACAATAGTGCTGATAGATGTATTTACTCTAAAAATACATCTGATTACATAGTAGTTATATGTCTTTATGTTGATGATATGTTGATCATTGGCACTCACCTAGAAGGTATTCTTGAGACGAAGAAATACCTATCCTCGAACTTTAAGATGAAAGATCTTGGAGAAGTAGATACTATTCTTGGTATCAAGGTGAAGAGGACAGGTGGTCAGATTTCTCTGAGTCAATCTCATTACATAGAGAAAATTCTGACAAAGTTTCAACATTTGAACATTAAGGAATTTAACACTCCTTTTGATTCAAGTGTGAAACTTAAGGTGAATTCTGGTCGAGCTGTGGCCCAACTAGAATATGCTAGTGCAGTTGGGTGCATGATGTATGCTACTTACTGCACGCGACCTGACATCGCATTCGCTGTAAGCAAGTTGAGTCAGTATACAGTTAATCCAGGGACAGAGCACTGGAAAGCAGTGGGTAGAGTACTAGGATACCTAAAAAGGACAAGTACTTTTGAATTGACTTATTCGTCATCTAATGGAATACTTGAAGGTTATTCTGATGCCAGCTAGATTGATCACACCAGTGATTCAAAGTCCACAAGTGGTTGGATTTATACACTAGCTGGTGGTGCTATTTCTTGGGCGAGCAAGAAACAGACATGCATAGCTCATTCAACGATGGAAGCTGAGCTAATTGCCTTAGCAGCAGCAAGCAAAGAGGTAGAGTGGATTCGAGATCTACTTATGGATATACGTTTGTGGGATATTCCGATGCCTTCAATACCCATGTACTGTGACAGTGAGGCCACACTATCTAAAGTATATAATGCGGTATATAATGGGAAGTCAAGACATGTAGGTCTGCGTCACAATTTTGTGAGACAACTAATTGAAAGTGGTACCATCAAGGTTGTCTATGTCAAGACAAGTAGGAACTTGGCAGATCCGTTTACCAAACCTCTAACGAGAGATTTGGTTACATCTACCACGAGAGTCATGGGTCTAAAACCACAATAGAATCGTTTAGTGATGGAAACCCAACTTGACATTAGTGCTCCTAATTTTCAAGTTTAAAGGGTAACAACGAAATCACTAACGATAGAAGGTACTATCATTC